ATAACTTAAGGTATAGAATCAACAAGAGAACTTTCAAAATTCCCTGAAATAAGTAATTTAAGTGCCCAAAACAGCTCTCAGATACATCTATAAATGAGAACCTACTTTAGTAATAGTCCTGTTGTTCTTCCCAATAAACTGTGTGAGTCTGAAATAATTCTTGACTTGGTATTTGCCAAAAGGTATATCATTGTGAATAAAAAATCTAGACACCCCAAAATTGGTTATACCTTATACGCATGCATTGGATTAATCTTTTATGCCTTTGGAATGGTTTATGTGTTACAAAGAATTTACGTTGTATTGGAAAATAATAGATGTAATTTTCTCAAAAGAATCATTGTCAAGCATTTTTTTGATGACTGAACAAACAAGAGTTGCATTTCAGGTAACCCAAATGTCATAATCAAAACAAATAAGCAAAAATAATGTATTAAATATTAAAAATAAGTATTTCACTTCAAAATAAAACACTACACTGGGAATGGGCTTTGGAAATAATGGACAAAAGAAGCAATTAGTAAGAAAACGCAAATGGCTGAAACGGACCGCAAGTCAAGCTTACTCCACAATGATTTCTATCCATACCTAATAAACAATAATTTTGCTAGTTGAGGACAAATATAGTCATACCTCTCCCCCCAAGTATTTAGCATAGTATCTGACATCTAGAAGTAATAAAAATAGCTAGTTAGCATTTGTCAGGTATGCAAGCCAGTGCTTGTTATTTAATATATATTATCCCTACTCCTTCAACAATCTATGTGATAATATGATTCATCCCAGCCTACAGATGAAATAATTGAGGCTCACACAGATTGATTTACCTGAGATTTTACAGCATCTAAGTAACTGAGTCAAGATATGAACCTAAGTCTGAGAAACCAGTTTCTACCACCCACTCTATCCACTTATTGAGTACAGTAAATACACGTTTGCTGAATTGACCAATGTTTTTGTATATTCTTCAAAAGAGAGATTTTATTCTAACCATGTAAATCCTTTTATTCAACTCACAACTGTTCTTACAAATAAGATGAGATGGAAAAAAGGAAGACAGCTGCCTGGCCAACTGACTAAAAGAGATCCATATTTGTGCTCACTCCCCCGCCCAAAAAAAGACCGTAATCCAACAGAATGTGGAAATTATTAAACCATATAGTTAATATCATACATAATAATTTTTTACTGAAGGTACTTTAAAAATGGTTGAACCAGTACAACAATAGGGAACTGCCAGAAATTCAAGCTGGATTCAGAAGAGGATGTAGAATGAGGGATATCAGTGTTGATGTAAGATGGACCTTGGCTGAAAGTAGAGAATACTAGAAAGATGTTTACTTTTGTTTTACTGACTATCTAAAGGCATTTGACTGTGTGGAATCATAAGAAATTATAGATAACATTGCTCAGAATGGAAATTCCAGAACAGTTAATTGTGCTCTTGTGGAACCTGTAAATAGACTTAAGAAGCAGTTATTCAAACAGAACAAGGGGATACGTGTGGTTTAAAATCAGGAAAGGTGTGTGTCAGGATTGTTTCCTCTCACCGTACTTGTGTAATCTCTATTCTGAGTAAATAATCCAAAAAGCTGGACTATATGAAAAAGAATGAAGCATCAGGATTGGAAGAAGACTCATTAACAACCTGCAATATACAGATGGCACAACCTTGCTTCCTGAAAGTGACAAGGACTTGAAGCAGTTATTGATGAAGATCAAAGTCCACAGCCTTCAATATGGATTACATCTCAACATAAAGAAAACAAAAATCCTCACAACTAGACTAATAACCAACAGCATGATAAATGGAGAAAAGACTGACGCTTTTAAGGATTTCATTTTACTTGGATCCACAATCAATGCCCATGGAAACAGCAGTTAAGAAATCAAATGACATACTGCATTGGGCAAATGTGTTGCAAAAGACATCTTGAAAGTGTTAAAAAGCAAAGATGTCATTTTGTGTACTAAGTTGTGCCTGACTCAAGCCATGGTATTTTCCATTGTTTCCTATGCATGCGAAAGTTGGACCGTGAATAAGGAAGACCAAAGAGTATCTGATGCACTTAAATGACAATGTTAGCAAAGAACACTGAATATAACATGGACTGCCAGAAGAACAATAAAACCTATCTTGGAAGAAGTATGGCCAGAATGTTCCTTAGAAACGAGGAAGGGGAGATTTCATCTGATGTACTTTGGACAAGTTATCAGGAAGGGCAAGTCCCCGGAGAAGGACATCATGCTTGGAAAAGTAGAGGGTCAGTGAAAAAGAGGAAGACCCTCAATGAGTTTGACTAACACAGTGGCTGCAACGATGGCTCAAGCATAGCAATGACTGTGAGGATAGCACAGAGCCAGGCAGTGTTTTTTTCTGTAGCACATAGGGTCACTGAGTTGGAAATAACAAGACTGTACCAAACAACAACTAACAGATGTTAAGCAGCTTATCTATGGCACTTCTGAATAAATTCAAGACACTATCTAAATCTTCTCAAGATTATTTTATGTCCTTAAGAGGAAAACAAACAAAACCAAACCCAGTGCCATTCAGTTAATTCCAACTCATAGCAACCTTATAGGATAGAGTAGAACTTCCCCCATAGGGTTTCCAAAGCTGTAAATCATTATGGAAGCAGATTGCCTTATCTTTCTCTCATAGAGACTGGTGAGTTCGAACTGCCAACCTTTTGGTTAGCAGCCCAATGCTTTAATCACAGCACCACCAGAGCTCATTCTTAAAAGGAAAGAGTGTATTATATGTAAACCAAAAACCAAACTCACTGCCATTGAGTCGGATCTGACTCATAGCGACCCCTCGTTGGGTTTCCAAGGGAATATCACTACGGAAGTAGATTGCCCAATCTTCCCTCTGAGGAGTGGCCGGTGGGTTTGAACCACCAGCCTTCTGGTTAGCAGTCAAATGCCTTAGACACTATGCCACCAAAGCTCTTGTATTATATGTTGTTGTTGTTGTTACGTGCCGTCGAGTCAGACCCTACTCATAGGGACCTCTCCTTGGGTTTCTGAGGCAGTGTCACTACGGAAGTAGATTGTTCCATCTTCCTTCCAAGGAGTGGCTGGTAGGTTTGAACTACCAGCCTTCTGATTAGCAGTCAAGTGCCTTAGGCACTACGCTACCAGAGCTCCCATATTATATGTAGTGAGACAAAATAAAATATTAAGGCTGGAAGAGACTTCCAAAATATTTTTCCATCTATACTTTTCAAATGAAGATTTGTCTGTCTCCTCCTCCTCCATCCTCTCCTCCCTCTTTCCTCCTCCTCTCCTTTTTTGTGCCTTTCGATCTGATTATCCCTCTTTGAATGAAGTACACATAAAACTCTGTCAAACTCACATGAGACTGATATCAAAGCTTAACATCAACTTTTCATTTTTCATTTATTATATAATCCAACTGCAATTCTGGACCTAAACATGATGATTTTAGTTTTTTAAGTGCAATTTTGTACCTGGAGGATGCTGGCAGGTTTTGATGGGTCTTTTATTCTGGAAGAAACAGTTTTGATGTTTTAAATCAAGATTTTGTTAAAAAGAATTTGAAGGGGTGAAAAATGGACACAAAAAACTGGATTATAAAAACATTCAAGTAAATACTGGGATATAAAATTAGAAATTAAGGCAGTTTTGGTGAAGTTAACTCCCAACAGTAAATCAAAAAGGATTTTTCTTGTTTGGAAGGCATTTCCACACAACGAAAATAAAAAAATATAGCAAAATTTAACCATGGTGAGAAGTTTCTTCATTTGGTTTCTATGATACTTTTACTATCTTGATTTTCCCTTCTCATTCTCCTTTGCTAACTTATTTTTCTCTCCCACTTTTTCATGTGGGAATGCTTCAGGGCTCATTATTTGGTCCTCTTTTTCAATTCTCTCTCTACAATCACTCTAACGGTTTGAAAAACTGTGTGTTGATAACTCACAAATTTTGATCTCCAGCCCACATGCCCCTCTTCCAGCAGAATTATACATCCAATTGACTACTTGACATCATTTAGATGACTATTAAGTGTCTAAAACTTAACATTTAGCAAATTTAAATCCTGATCTTACCTCTCACATTTGTTACACGTGTCATCTTCCCCAGTTCTACTGATGCTAACTCCATCCTTCCAGATGCTCATGTCAAAAGCCTTGGAGTCATCCTTGACTCTTTTTAGTATCAAGGCCTCCATTTAGTAGTCAGGTATTCTACCTTTCAAAAGAATCTGATCACTTCTTATCATTTCCCTTTGAACCCTGGTTCAAGCCAGTATCATTTCTCCCTTCATTTTCTCTCCCCCACGTTGTTGTTGTTGTTGTTGTTGTTATGTGCCCTGGAGTCAGACCTGACTCATAGTGACCCCTCCTTGGGTTTCCGAGGGAGTATCACTACAGAAGTAGATTGCCCAACCTTCCTTCCGAGGAGTGGCTGGTTCTCTCCCCCATAGGCTACTCACAAAAGAAAAGTCTGAGTGATGCTTTTAAACTATAAGTTAAATCATACCATTTATTTTCTCAAAATTCTCCAAGGGGTCTACAGTTACATAAAATATAAACCAAAACCCTTACACAACCCTATATAATCCCCCCCCCCCATTTTTCTCCATCATCTCACTCCTTCTACACTGGCCTGTAGGGTGTTCCTCGAACATGCCAGGCTTGTCGCTGACTAAGAGCCTTTGCTAGCTTTTTCCCAGAAGAGCAGCTCTTCCCTCCAGACAAGTGCATTAACACCCTTACCTCTTTCATACAGTGTTTAACATATCCTTTTCAATGAAATTTTCCTGAGAATCCTATTTAAAGGTGAAATCTACCCTCCTTATCACCTTTTATACTCTACTATTTTGACATGCCATGTATTACTTTATAGCTCACTACATTTAGGAAGTCTACATTTTTAAGACCTTTATGACCCCGGAAGTAAAAGCTTAAAGAAGTGGCGAGAATAAGAACCTATTTCCGTTTCTGTACAGACACACAGGAGGAACCAGCATGGCGAAAGGCGGGGATAAGAGCGCTGCCGCGAAGAAAGGCCTGAAGCGAAAAGCTGCTTCCGAAGAGCCTCAAGAAACTACACTCTCTGACGATGGTACGGCAGAAGACAGGGTCCATCCTCCAAAAGCAGCTGCTTTTCCCCCGGGCTTCAGTATTTCGGAAATTAAGAACAAGCAGCGGCGACACTTAATGTTCACGCGGTGGAAGCAGCAGCAACGGAAAGTAAGTGCAGAGCGGTTGCGGCCTGGCACATGCGCAGTGCCTTTCACCCGTGTTTAGGTGCCTGGGAGTAAGGTAGAGCGGGGTCCTTTGCACCTACGTGACTGCCACTGCTTGGAGTCCTGAGCTGAGCGGCTAGTCGGAAAAGGTGGTGCTGAGAAGCACGTGACGTGGTGCTCACGCGCAGCTTTGGAGACTCAAGTTCAGTTCTTTTCTCGTTTCCGTTATTAGTGAAAATTAGTTTTTACTAACTTGAAAGGCGGGAGCTCTGGTAGCATAGTGGCTAAGACACTTGCCTACCAACCAGACGGCTGGCGGTTCAAACCCACCAGCCACTCCTCGGAAGGAAGGTTGGGCAATCCTACTTCCGTAGTGATACTGCCTCGGAAACCCAAGA